CATTGCCTTGTTTTTCTTTATAGCTTTATCAACTAAATGCATCCCTAAATAATATATTGTTTAGTTTCTCCTGTTTTTGAACTTTTTAATAAATGGAACCTAGCTGTTTCTATGTATGTATGCTTCTGTGATTTGCTTCTTTCACTCAACATTGTGTTTTTGAGATTCATACACGTTGGTACATGTAGTTTTGCTTCGTTTACACTACTATACAACATCCCATTACATGAACATGCCATAGTTTATTTATTTGTTCTACTATTGTTGGATATGATGATGAAATAACGGGATGAGGTACATATGCTACAGTTTCTCTAGGGTATATACCCTGGAGTGGAAGTCCTGGGTCCTGGGATTTGCACATGTTCAACTTTACATGATGCCAAACCCTTTTCCAAAGTGCTCACATAAATGTATACTGCAATGAGCTGTGAATGAGAGTTGAATTTCCTCCAGATGCTTACAACACTTGGTATTTTCTAGACTTTTTTATTTTTACGATTCCAGTGAGTGTGAAATACTATTTTATTGTGACTTTAATTTTCCTTTCCCTGAGTACTAATGAAGTTGAGGATCTTTTAATTCCACTATTGGCCATTTGAGTTTTGTCTTTTAAGAAGTGCCTGTTCTAGTTTTTGGCCTGTATTTCGATTGGTTTATTTTTCTTTGGCTATAGAGCCTTAGAGCTCTCATTATTAATCTTTGATTGGTTATGTTCATAGCTTGTCTTTTCACTCTCTTAATTATGTTTTCTGATGAATAGAAGTTCGTCATTTTAATATACTCGGATTTACCAGTCTTTTCCTTTATGATTTATACGTCTTTTTTTAGAAATCCTTCACTACCCAGAGATCATTAAGATATTCTCTTATGTTTTCCTCTAAAAGTTTTATATTTTCCCTTTCACATTTATGTTTTGAATCCATCTGGAGTTTATTTCTTTATGTTTGGTGTGAGGTAGGGGGTCCAATTTGCTATTTTTCCACATGGAAAACTAACTATGGCAGCACTATATTGAAAAGTACAGGTTCTTCGCTGATCTAAAATGTCTGTTTTATCGTATATCAAATGTCTATGTGCAAGTGGGTTTGTTCTTGAACTCTCTGGTCAGTTCTTCCATGCCACTGCCTTCATTTCCAGGGTTTTCTGTTAAGTCCTGACATGGGATAGGGCCAGTTGCCCCGCCTTGTTCTTCAGGAGTGCTTTGGCTATTCATGGCGTTTTTCACTCGCACAAAAATTTTAGATTCAACTTTCTCTTGCACCTCTTTTTTTACATTTATTCCTAAGTACTTTATATTTTCTACAGGATTGTAAATTATACCTTTTTATTTTAATTTTTAATTGTGGCTATTATAAAAAAAAGTGCAAAGTTTTTACGTTGTAGGGGAGGAAGACATTTCCTATTCCCAAATGTGGGTTCGTCTGGCCGGAGAACGAATTAAATTCACATGAGACAGAATAGCAAGAGAAAATTAAACCAAGCTTTATGAGGAACCATGGCCCGGGGACTTTCTTCCCGAAGGAAGAAAGGGCACCGAAGAAGTGGGGTGCACATAGTGGTTATATACCCCCAAACAGGGTGTTTCACATGTGATTGAAATGTACCTCCCACAATAGTCTCAAGATTGCCCTATCGGCACAGTGCTTGATGGACACAGCAGGTAGTGGTCTGCTATCTCGGTGGGTGTAGCAGGAGGCAAGTCGATTGTCTGGAGCTGGGCTGTCACAGGTGAGCGCAGCAATCAGTTCCTAGCCTAAGGAAAGATGCTTAACCCTTAAAGAAATGCCAACGTTGGGAGGGGGAGGGAAGTCAGTTACAGGAGGTTACCAGACTAGCACAATAAAATGCAGATTTAAGTCCTTGCCTTTGGTATTGATTAAGAGTTTTTGGAGAGAAGGTCATCTCCTTTCTTCTTCCTGGTACAGAGAGGGAGGCACCTTTACAGATAGAGATTTACCTTACAAACGTAAATGTGTCCTAACAAAGGGCAAGTTCCATTGCTCAGAGCCTCCTTGCCTGTCCCAGTTTATCAAAAGCAATGAGCCTCAAATAATCCTGATGCCAAAGAGACATATCTTGGGGTGGCCAATTCCAGGTCCCAACAACGTATTGATTTTTGTATCCAGCAATGTAGCTAAACTCACTCATTATTTCTAATAATATTTCTGTATTTAGTCTTTTAGATTTTCTACAAACACAGTCATATTTTTTGGTATAATGACAATTTTATTTCTTTCTTCCTGATTCTTATATCTTTTATTTCTTCTTCTTGACTTATTGCACTCACTAGAACTTCTAATACAATGTTGAACAGAGGTAGTAATAGCGACTCCCTTTCTAATTGCCAGTCTCAAAGTGGATTTTTTTCAATATCTCATCCTTAAGTATGATGTTTGGTGTAGCTTTTTGTAGATACCTGGCTATATGTTCTTATTTTACTGTATTTTAGGCTCAAAGTTAACATTTATTTAGAATAAGGAGAGAAATCATAGCACATTTTTAACAGGGTTATTGAGGTATAATTTACATACCATAAAAATTTCCCCATTATAAGGGGGAATGCATAGCATATTTTATATTTTAAATAGCTGAAAAATCTATTCAATATCAAAAACTCATACAAATAACATAATACTTTCATTAGCTGCCTAACACACCTGCAACTTAGTGTCACAATGCTGAGTGAAATTAGCACAGTGAGCGCTAGGAGTGTTCTTGGAAGCCATTCCTGCACTAAGACAGCAAGCACTAGCAATCGACTAACTATACACGGAAGTGTCAGTGAACCACATGATACACATTCTCCTAAACCCTCAATAAATATACCATCAATGCACCTTCAATACAAGACAATACAATAAAGCTAAGGAGCTTTATTCCAGAAATGCTCATGGCCACTCCAGCACTGCTTAACTTGAGGGGAAGTGTGACAGAGGGGAAGGAGGAACAGAAAAAGACAGTCATCTTAACCATTTGCAGTCTTACTTTTGCAAACTTTACAAAAACACTTGATCACGCCCAAGACCACCACACTTTAAAAGAGAAACTAAAGCCTGCCCGTGGGAGGGTTACGAGGATGACGTAATGGTTCAAAACCATCCCGTATTAGGAACTGTTAAAGAACTTAGGGAATTTGGCTTGGAAAAGAGGTTTGCCAGGGACAGGAGCTTACCTATGTTTTCGGGGGTTTTTTTTTGGAGAAGGTTTAGTTTGTTTTGTATTTGGACCCAAGGGGTCAAACTAGGACTGGAGGCTCTAAAGTAACCCATTTTTGTTCAATATAAAACAGAATTTTCTAACAGAGGTGTTCAAAGAAGTGAAGAGGTAATGAATTTCTTGTTACTTGAGATGTTCAAGGGAAAATGAACAACCCCTTGCCAGCTGTTTTATAGGGGAATTTCAGCACCAGATGGATGGTTAAATGTCTTTGAAGTATCCTCCAACCTTGAGATCCTGTGATTCGTTAAGAGAATGATTTATATTCTAGATAACAATTTATGTATTACCTAGTGGATTATATACGCCGTGATGAATGGAGCCTTGTGTCTGTGGGTAGGGGCCCCCATACTCAATACCAGAGTCCCAGGAAGTCAGTTGATAAGTTGATGAGCATAGAATCTGAGCAAAGATAATCAGATGATCTTAATGGAATATTATCATTAAGCTTCAACAGCAGGATCAGTTGGACTCTTTCAAAATTAGATTATAACAGCTAATCCAACTACAAGATTCATGCTGCAAATCTGAGGCCCCTCCTCCTTGGGCAATGCTGGACACACTAAAAAATTCTTACCATCAACTTCCCTTTTTGTAACT